ATTGGCAGAACATACAACAGTTGGAGGACACAGTGGGGAATACAGTTTAGAAATGGCACTGCGGGTATTGGACGGATTTCGGTGACTGGCAGTTAGGAGAACGAAGCGATTGGCTGTCGTTCAGCGCAGGGGCTCAGCAGGGTTCCGCCCCCTCACTCTCTTTATCGCTGTTGACTCCAAAAAGTTGTACTCACAAAGTTACCAGCAGATCTGTTTGTGCGGCTCCATGTTTACTGGTGCTGCTGCATGTGGATGACCGAAATATCAGTTTATGTGACAAGTGCAGCTTGGTTGATCCGTGTTTTGATTTTGACCAAATGTCTGTGTATGGATATGATTTTTGTCATAAAAAAAAGAAAAAAAGAAAAAAAAAACATGCCCACTGCTGGTGGATTTATGTGGCTGGTGTAAAAAAAAAAGATGTGACCAGAGAGCTGATGTGGTACAAAAAGAAAAAAGAAAAAAAAAAAGGCAGCAGTGGCGCAAAGTTTATTTATTTCCTATTAAAAAAATGTTTGTGTGTGAAAAAGAATCACTTCGAAAACATGCCGGTTTTTAAAAGACATGGTATGAATTGTCAGGAAAATAGAAGATGACAGAAGCGCGTGTGAGCAGGCATTTCCAGATTAAAAATAAAATACAGTTAAAGGTAAATCAATAAGCTGCGCAAGCATCAGAAGAATAGGTTTCCCTGGATTTAGATGTTGTTATTTTTAACCCTTCGCTCTCAGCAGCAGTCATTGCTCAGTGTTCTGTGGATATCATTCATTTTCTTCCTATGGCGATGAGAATGAATGTGGCTGCCGCAGTTAAATTCAAAGAAGCATTTAATTGAGCTTTAACAGTGCAGCCTGTCATTCTGCTGAAGTTTGGAAAACCAACAAAAATCTTTTTAACGTATATTTGTTCAGACCTTTTTTTTAAATTCTCAAACTGTTCCTGTTAAAAACAAAGAAAAAAAATATTAAGATAATTTAAATTGTGGTTTTCATGCATTAAAAGTTAAAGCAGACCTTTTGTTGGAGGTGTAAACGTTCAGCAGTAAACTAAATCAGCTTGACATTTTATTTCAGTGACTGTCTTGGCAGGACCTTCAAAGCTGCTTTTTTTTTTCTTTCTTTCTTTTTGCACACCAGCAAAAACATTATTTTCCTCTCGTCTTGGTTCTGACCTGGGTTGGCAGACACTTAAACTGCATTTAGTTCACTTCACTGACAGATCATGCTCCTGTTGACAGCAGTACGTGGAACAGTCACTGACATGTCTTAATTCATGTTTCCAATCGAATTGGGGGGGAAGTCGCCTAAAAAACTACAAACCACCCTGTCAACTAGCACGGTTTGTAACCTGAAAAGGACGCTGGCCTTAAGATAATAACAATAATAATAATAAATAAATAAAAATACAAACAACTTCACATATTTAACCAGTGGCGCACTGGTCCTGCCCATGAAGTTTTCTTATTGATTTCCATCACGTTAGAAAGGAGAGCTGCATATCATGGGGCTGTTGCGCATGATGTTCCCATTGAAATTGATTTATGATCATTTGCAACTGAGATGAAGACTTAAATAATTTTTAAAAATAACAAAAATGCACATAAGCTGTTGCAGAATTACGTAAAATAAAATCTCTGTCCATGAGGATGGTGTTTATTAACAGATGATCCTGTTATTATAATTTGCAAAATGACTCTGGCTCATGTTTATACTATTATTATATATTTTTTTAAGTCTCTAAACATATATCACCCATGACCACCTGTGTGTGTGTGTGTATGTGTGTGTGTTTGCACCGTTGTGTCTCGGGGACGTCGTTAAATGAATAAATATATAAATAAATGAATTTTGCCCAGCTCCAAACAGAGCTCCTGGAAGCCCCATAAAACCCAGAAGGCGCAGTGGCTGCGTTGTTTATGATTTGTGTAGTGTTTCATACGCAATAAATTAAGCAGCACAGTAAATTGCAACTAATCCACACATGGACAAAATCAACACCAAGATAGAAGATTTTCATGAATAAAATCTGAACAGTTTGTAAATATGATGCCCCCCCCACCCACCCTCCTTTATCTTTCTTATTCTGAAATTTAAAAGATGGAATAACACAGTGAGAACAGAGTCTCCTGAAGGAATGAGTTCATTTTTATTGACTTATAGCTTCCAAATTACCCCCCCAAAAAACTGTCGATGCCCCAGACAGAAGCGGGGGGCGTCTTGAACCTCTCTCTCTCTCTCCCTCTCTCTCTCCCTCTCTCTGTCTCTCTCTCTCTCTCTCTCTCTAAAACAAAGACGCTTTGTCATAAACAGGGTTATTTTACCAAAAGGAGTCAAGAGGGCAACATATGTGGTCTTAACGGGTCATAGGTCAAACATCCATGAAACACAAGGTCACGGAAGCCACACAAGTAACCTTCCAGTGTGTCAACATATTGATACTGTCAGATAACACAGGGCAAGAAATACGCCTTTGGCACCCATTATAATACGCTGCCATGAGCGCCCTTATGTGATCAAGACCGCTGATTTTATTACCACTTGTTCTTCTTCTCTCACCTCCAATTTCAGATCACTTCAGCAGCCTCATATTTCAAGTGATTTAATTGTTACATCTGTAGGGCCATGTTTCAATGTGTGCTTCTAAAACCTGTTGAAATACTTGGTCTTTGGGGGATTTTTTCAATAGGCTGGACCCCTTTTCTTTTCCCAAGCAGAAGGGAAAACCCGCAACCATGTGCCTCTTTCCGATTGATTTTTTTTTTCTTCCTCTAAATTTTCCTTTTTCCCCCTATCTGGGGAAGGTTTCTTTTTTCTGTGGTTTTCCAGAGAAATAAAGAACTTCTTATAGGGGTCGGCAGACGTGACTTTGAACTTGGATCAGCTCCTGCGTTTCCTGTGGTGCGGGTTGAAATAGACTTGGAAGAATGGCACACAACGCTCAGCCTGTCCCACTCCGAGCTAGGAGACACACAATTTCCCAAAAAAAAAAAAAAAAAAAAAAAAGTTTTTTAAAACGTTTTCCCTCGCCTTCGCCATTATTTGTCGCCCAGAGAGCCTCGGAGAGCTGAGACAGACAGACAGATAGACAGATAGACAGACAGGCAGACAGACGGCAGAGCTGGTGGGATTCTGGTTTTGGTGAAAATGTAAGTAAACTTCATTTGACTTGTACGTTGTGCTGTGTGGCCTGTTTGCAGTTTCAGATCGTGTTTGTGGAGGGAAGTTGCCATAAAATGAAGCAAATGTCTTTCTGTCAAGTCTGCGTGTGTCTGTGTGTGTGAGAGAGAAATGGGAATCCTCATGAGGAAGATTTATGGTTAAGTGTAAAAAAAAAAAAAAAGGCAGTATCGCCATGATCACAAAAACCACCTACTTCATAATCAGCTCAAAATAAAAAGAAGAAGAGAAAAACATCCTCCTCTACTGCTGAAGCTCCATTATTGTGAGCTCAGGGCAGTCTCGACCTCACAGGTCACTAAGGGTTAACTCGGATCTTAGCACAGTTCACCACCATAACATGTAACTTAATTGGTGTGAACCACCGAGGAAGCGCAACTAGCAGCATATAGAACCATTAAAGAACCAACAACAAGCGGTGGCGGTTGCCAGTGTGAGAAGTCGAGCACCACTAAAAGCCCAGTTGTGGTTGTACAACCAGTGAAAAACCGCTGGACTCCATATGGAGCCACACATGCTTTTTCAGCTGGGAAGAATTAAGTGGCTCAAACTAAAAACTAATACCTTTACAAAAACACAACAAAGTAGAATTTAGTGGAGTTGTATTAGAACAAAAAAGAACACGCACCATATCTATATCTATCTACAGATATTGATATAGATAGATGGATTATATATTGGTGTATACATATACAATAAATGACTGATTTGCCTTAAAACAGTCTAATTGTAATCATTCACCTTTCTGCTGTTACACCTCCATCCAAACTAAACATTTTGGAACGCAACACAAAACCAACTGTCAGCTCCAACAACACCACAAATGACCACCTTTCACTTTGTAAACGTCAAAATACTCTGAGTTGTGTTGTCACATGCATATTAAGCAGCTAAATGATCATTTTCCACTTTCTTTAACTTTCTACATTCCTGGTATTTCTCCTCCAAAGCCACGTTTTCCTCTTAAAAATAAATGAATAAATAAGATCCATACTACTACTTCGCACCTACAGAATATAAACAACAAAAACGTTCTCTCCTCTCTCTTGTCGTGATCCTTCTCGCCTGCGCGCACACACACACACACAAACAAACACACACACACACACCCCTGAAATCTTCTGCCTAAAAGTAGGCGGTAATTATTAGTGGAAAATGGCGTTGCGCTATTAAGTCGCCAAAGCGCTACCTGCTATTGGAGGGGCACCTGGGATTGATGAGGCGCAGTGGCCAATGAGACGGCGAGGAATGAATGAACGGGCTCCAGTTAAAGGGGGCGGAAGAGGAGGTAGAGCCAGTCCACGGAGAAACAGGGACCCTCCGCGATAAACACAGGCGAGCCAGAGAAACAAATACATGCCCAATTGGAAAGCCGTTTTTTGAGATGCTCTCCTTCTGTGCGCGCAGAAGACACCTAGTAAGATAATTATTTAATTCTCAGAGTGTATTTTAACTCGTTTTAGCTGTCGGGAGGAGAGGACACAAGGAAACTCTTCACTTCGTCACGTTTGGATTTTTTTTCTCTCT